GCATGCCAGGACCCAGCCAAGCCCTGCACTGACTTTTTAATGAATAGCTTGGATAAAGAAAGCTGCTGCTTATATTTGTAAACAATGCAAGACATGGTTCTGCCAAAAAAAAAAAATAGTGTAAGACAAAGTAGCTAATATTGGTCACATGGAAATTATTTAAGAAGACTTAGCCTGGCATAGTGCTGCATTCCTGTAATTTCAGCACTCAGAGACTGAGGCAGGATGACTGCTGTGAGTTCAAGGCCAGCCTGAACTGCATAGTGAGACCCTGTCCAAAGAAAAACAACTACAAATAATAAGAACTGCAGCAGATATTTGAAGGCTAAGATGGGAGAACTGCAAGTTCAAAGCCAGCCTGGGCAATATAGCAAGATCCCACCACGAAAATCGGTAGAAAGCATTTGATAGGTTAAACATAAATTCTCATACTATGCTCAGTAATCAAATGTGCAGATAGAAAAGCTGTAGTTCGATAGTAACTTATATGAGAAATTTTAAAACATCTAGAGTTATAGTTGCACATATAAGCCCGTTACCCTAGGGCCGATAAAATGTTTGGTGGAGAACAACATCAGTCGGGCATGGTAGCACACACCTATAGCACTAAGGCTAAGGCAAGAAGATCAGGAGTTCAAGGCCAGCCTGGACCACATGGGGACGCCCCATCTTTTAAAATAATAATTATGTACATCAAAGGGGAAACAGTTGAGAGGGTTATTCTTTGGTCTAATGATATGGCTTAAAGGTCCAATACATGACAGTATTTATGGAAGAAAGTTGACCCATTTTGTTCCAGAGCAGTTGTCGGAGGCTACATTATAGTTCATCTTGGAATAGGAAAAACTTTCTAGTAATTGTGTGCCTCACAAAGAAGTAATTTCCTGTAAATAACACAGAATTGAAGGCTAGAAACTGTCTGTCTCAGTATAAATAAAGCTTCTACATCAGGTGTGAGGGTGAGCCAGATGGTTTTCCAGGGTGTCTTATTTTTATACATGTATTTATAACTACTTCTTCCAAGGAGCATTCATGCCTCAACGTATGGTCTTTTTGACTCTGAGTTGCATAGTTTGGCCGTTTTGGGTGAAATAGCTCTTTTTGAGAGAGGGTGTCACTATGTAGCCTAGGCTGTCATTGAACTCACTGTAGAGCTGCCTGGCTGGCCTCAAACTCCTCATCCTTCTGCCTCAGCCTTCTGGAAACTGAGATGACAGCCATGGGACACGACTCCCAGCCGCGGAAGGAGCCATTTGGAGTTGGCTCAAGAGTTGTACTAAAGGTAGTGGGCTGCAGAAAACCTACAGATTGGACAAACCAAAGCTGCAGACACCTCCTAGTCCTGATGTACTAAGTCAGAGTTTTGATTTCAGAGAGGCTTTGGATCATACATTAGGGTGACTAGTGCTGTTAGGGCAGTGTGACAGAATATACACATAGCTTTATTGCTCTCTAGTTGAAGGTAACATGCTGACTGGTTGCATCCCAACTAAGTTTCTCTATTTTGTGTTAGTTAGTGAAGCCTACAGAGAAATGCTGACTGCAGACAACCTCGATATTGACAACATGAGACACAAAATCCGAGACTATTCCTTATCAGGGGCCTATCGAAAGATCATTATTCGTCCTCAGAATGTCAGCTGGTGAGTACAGCCTAGCATGAAGCAGAGCTGAATTACTGTGTGAGCTTCTCAGCATTGCTCTGTAAGTGCATTTGTTGGTGCTTAGAATCTAGCATCTAAGTATGTGTTACTGCTCATCGTACTATCATCTCTGTTGCTGTCAGTTGATATTTTTCAGATCACCAAGAAGTACATGGAGCTGTGTTGGATGCAATCATAGTGAAAGTGATTCATTTACATTTGTTGACATTACTAAATTATTGAAATACAGAGAGAATGAACGTTTTCTCCTATTTCT